AAAGAAGTGCTAAACAGACACTTATAGCTTCTTCCACCATGGAAACAGAGTTTATAACGATTATGAGACATCTAATCATAGAATATGGCTATAAAAACTTATCATTAGGCTACGCATTGTGATGGCAAAGAAAGACCACTCAAATTATTTTGTAATAATAAGTCTGTAGTTCTGTATTAATAATAACAATAAGAGTTGGACGAAGTCAAAACATGTACACATCAAGTTCTTAGTTGTTAAAAAAATAGTTCACATTGGACAGATATTTATAGTGCACAATAAAACAAGCTCCATGGTTGCGGATCAGTTCACTAAGGAATTACCACCTAAGGTCTATCATGAGCACACTATTTATATGGGTCTTGTATCTCTTAAGGATATGTAGTTTCAGTGGGAGTTTACACTTTATTTGCTTTTCATATTTAAACATGTGTTATGGTAAATTTCATATATGATTTATGTATATTTGGTTAGTTTTTCAGTTATAAAAAATTTGGTTCATTTTATCTCTGAACTTGCTTAAAGTTTATCTGACTAAGGTTTAAGGTAGGATTAGTTGGAACTAGGCATCTTTAGATTACATTAAATGTAATTTTCATACTACAAATTCACGTTTAATCCATGTCATTCGGTTATATTGATATATGTGACCATTGATGGGTTTAGTTACGACAAATGCAATGAAACTATTTTCATCATATGTTCATATGATTGATGAACTTAATTGTTTAGGGATGCATTATATAATTATAATAAAATTCTGAGTACTCATAAAGATGTCTAATGCATAATTATGAGGTGACATATGTAGCAAAAATGGGAGATTGTTAGGTTTTAATTTACTATGTGGATTTATGTAAAAATTATTATGCATAAAAGGTTATCAAATTAATTAAACTCGTTTAAAGTGATATGATAAAGTTGAAGATATTTTGAAATTTAACGTATAAAATTAAATTATGGGCTTTTATGTATAAAAATCAAATATCATACTTTTAATTTTGTAATGGGTTACATTATGAATAATAAAAGTTAATAGACAGTTAGCCTATAAATACAGTTATGGTCCCCTAATTATGAGTAGTTAGTTCATTTTATTTTATATCTCATCGTCAGAAATAGAGAGTGAGAAAACTTCAAGGGACTATATGTTAATTTGGAAGACTAATGACAGGACGTGTTATTCTCTTCTATCATAACTAATTCAAGTACGCTTCTGCTTCAGACATCAATCTTGATGATTTGATGTGAGTTTCAGGGTTTGTTTTAGGATTTATTTTTGGATGTATTTCGTGAAGAATAAATCACAACATCCTTCTTCTCCAAATCTCAATGGTATAGCTTAAGAATTGGACAAATTATAGTTCTATTCAGAAGATAACAGGCTGTGTTTGATGTTTCATATTAATGCTCAATGACCGAATTAAGGAATGGATGAATTTAAAAGAAAAGGTTTGTTGAATTTTGAATATCATAAACTTTAAAAGTTCTTTCTCTTCATTTGATGAAGAGGTATTATTAAATATACCAGAAAGTAACTGTTAAACATAACAAATCTGAAAATATGCACATTTAATTCTCATTAATGAATACCTTTCCCATCGATTTTGTTTTTGTTTTTTTTTTTTGGGTATCCTATATGTGAAGTAGTGTTTCACATCCCCTTACCAAATTTGCTATATTCATAAGTCTATTAAAGATGAGACCTGGAAATGATAAATAAAGTGTGATTCAGTTAAAAACAAGGAGCATTTCTCCTTAAATCTATTATTCTATTTATAATTAATTAAATCCATTTTTGCCATATGAGATTAACACATTCTTCGGAGAAAAGAATCAATTCATTCTGAAAACACCCTTTTCCTTCCAAAAGTTAAAATGCATTTCATATGAATGCCTAAGCACTTAATTGTTACTAATTTTCAATGCATTTCATATGAAAACTTATCAAGTTTTTGGAAGAAATTTATCTTTCTAGAAGGTTTTCCATTGAAATTTATCACAAAAGTCTACATGGGAGAAGGAGAATCATCAAACAAGACAGAATTATGGATTCTTAAAAGTAAGCATTTAACATCACCCTAAACAGATCCTGCCATACATCTTTTGAAACAAAAAAAAAAAACAAAAATCAAAATAGACCGGAGTAACCCGGTTGAATAGAATGGGTCACCATTTTTCTTTTTTTTTTTTGGCCATTAAAATTATAAATAAATAAAATCAGGTGTCAGAATCAATGTAAAATTATATGCTTTGGATCCTCAAAGTGGGCCCTAGTTTAAAATTTGAAATTCAAAGTGGCAGCTATTTATATATACAGCGGGGCCTACTCCGTTTGTTTCCCCAAAACCACATAACAATGTAAAAATTCTGTCATTATTTATTAAAAAAATAAATCAAGTCTTCATCAAATAATAAGTTTTTTCCTTAGCGGACACAAACTAATTAATAATTAATAATATACAACAACATAAATATTCATAAATTATAATCCCCCTTCCTCCCAACAAAATATTAGGCTATTAAAAATACCTAAAACTATTTCTACTGAAAAAAAAAAAAAAAAAAAAAAATTCTCAAAAGCAAAGAAGCACAACAGATGAAGAAACCATGAAGCTGTAAATAAGAATCAAAAACCCAAAATGCAGAGCCCAGTTCCTCTTAAACTTACCAAAATAACTCTCCGGTGGCTCCTGATAATGAATCTCAAGTTCTTCTTCCTCTTCCCCACCACCCACATACTCTCCATTGTTCATCCTCATCTTCATCTCCCTCAACTTCTCCGTCGCCAACCCTAGAGTCAGTTTATGGCACCTTCTCTGGTACTTAAACCCATTGATGCATCTCAGCGTCTGAGCCACCGAAGCGTAGAAGATTAGATGTGCGAAGGAGAGAAGCGTGATAGGGACCCAGCAGTGCCGGCACTGGAGCCTGCTCGATTGAGTCTGGGCCATTAAAACTAGACCCAGGAAGATGAAGAAGAGTTGGAAAAGCTTGTGAAGCTCCTTTTTTTGCAGGTCTATGGCTCGTTTCTTTTCTAGGGTCTTCTCGAAATGGAGCTGGATTATGGTGTTTAATGCTTCTAATGCTGTTTCTTTGGGGATCATTTGGTGGGTGTGATGGTGTTGGTGGGGATGGTGGTGATTGTTTTCGTAGTCGGCCATTGATGGGTCACAAGGGGGCTGGTGATTTTTTTGATTGGAGGGGTAGAGAAGGGTGGAAAATGGTGGTGAAGGAGATGATTATTTGTTGTTTAATTGGCCCGGATCTCTAGGAGTTTGTGTGAGGTTAATCATGGTTTAAACGGCAGCGTTTAGTGTCTCTTTTTCTGTGAGCGTCTTGTGTAGAATTATTTTTACTGTCTTTCAGGAATTTTTTTAAAATCAAATATTTATAAATATGTGAGGTAATTTTTTAAAACTATTATGGGTGACATAAAAGTATAAATTTGTATTTTTTTAAATTTGAACACAAGTCTAAATACTCTTTTCTTTGTTATTTTAAAAATGGTTAAACACGTTTATCTGAATGTTTGGATACATTAATCATTATTCCTAGAGACTTTTGAGTTTATTGAAATGATAATAAGGTAATAACTTTTAAATAAATCTTCTAAAGATAAACATAAGGCTTATCATAGGATGATAATATTATATAATTAAAAAATTTATTTTTGTAAGTAAAAAATAATTGTTGGTTTATAGTAGCTGTTGTTAATCAATTGAGTTGAACTCACTTTTCTTAAAACTTAAACTAATAGAAAAATACTTAAATTTATTACTTACACCACTATCCACATACCCATTAAACTCATAGATAAAATACAAATACAAATACACTCTACCATGGGTTGAAGTCAATTAGTAAATATGAGATAATAATCATTACCTAAATGTTAGACCTTTAATTAATTATTACTTTTCCTTTACAAATGTTTGTAAGTTGGAGTATAATTGTATCCTGATGTGTCATTATTTAAATATTATATGAAATAATTAATTGTAGTCAATTCTCTTAAAATTAACTACTCAATTAATTGAATATTTAATTAAAAGTGAATAAATAAGTACATAAAACTATACTAGTTAATCATTTAAATAAAACCCATTTAATTTTATCGTAAGATATCATGTATTCACTTCTTTATAAATTTATAATGATATATCATATAGCTGCATATTGATCATATTACAATTATGTAATATTTGGTAATTAGGTATTCTCCAATCAAAAGATATCAATTTTGAACCAAGTATATTTTTTTATTATATCTAGATATTTAATCATTTAGACAGTAAAATAAATTCAATAATAAATATTCATAAATTATATTTTGATTTATTTTTTTGTATGAAATTAGATGGGATAAGCGAGATCAAACAACATCAAATGTGGTTGAATATGTTCGATCAAGCAGACGAGTGCCAATTAAGATAAAATGGGATTAAAGAGTTTGACTTTTTATTGATCTAATGTTAATGTAACACCCAAAAATTTGTATTTTATTTTTTAATTTTATTGGAATTTTTGTTTAATTTTATTCTATTTTAATATTTAATTTATAAGGTTTTAATTTAATTTAATTTAATTAATAGAAATAATAATAATAATAAAATAGGGTAAAATTATTTTTAAAATTTAATTGAAATTGATTTTAGAAAAAATGTGTGAAAATTTAGATTCTGGGGGTGTTTTTGAAAAGAAAATCGAAAACTGTGGATCAAAACGTAATTTAGAAAAATAGTGTCACGTCAGCAGTCCCGGCCAACCAGGACACACTACGTGGCAGGGACGCTGACGCGGGAAGTCACGCGGGACGGAGACACATTGGCGATCTGCGTGCGCGCGATCGAACGGTCCAGATCCATTCCTGCGCACACGGACGGTCCAGATCTCACAGTGCGGACGGCCCAGATTAAATTATGATGGACAGCTCAGATTAAAAGAGGAGGGTTATAAATAATCGCATCCACACCCAACCCCAAACCCTAGCCGCCAGAACCCTCGCCGGAGAAGACAACCTAGCCACCTGAGGAACCAGCCGCCGCCACCCGCCGCTGTACCGGAGGACTTTCTGACCGCCAAACGAGGTAAAATTTCTCCCCTTGACTTGTTTTTCGATGTCGAACCTCCCTGTGGCCAAATCGGAGCTAAACCACCAGCCGATTGGCCGAAAAACACTGCCGAAGTCCAGCGGCACCGCCGCGGATTTCCTCAATTTTTGCCTCCGATAAGGCCTTCTCGTTTCTTGTTCGATGTAATTTTTATACCACTGTGACCACTGTTTTTTTCTCTACAGGTTGACCGGAGCAAAACACCAAATCGCAACTCGCGCCGGAGGAGCTGCCGTACCCGAGAGCTTCGCCGCCGGTAAGTCTCAGTTTTTTGGAATTTTTTGGCCCACCGAGGGCCCTAGGGGTGTTTTATCACAGGAACCAATGCAAGTTTGGCCGAATTCGGTTGAAAATGGCCTAAAACAGCCAACCCGAGGCGGATCGCCGCCGTACCAGAATTTCAAAATTGGCCGAAAGGGCCCTGGGTCTTATTTGGGGCTTTTTGGGGACATGTGCAGGTACTGGAAGTGTGTTCCAGTTTTCAGAAAAAAATTTAGGAAATCTAGAGACTGCCCGTAGGCGCAGTGAGAACCTGATTTCAGACTCCGAAACAAGTAAGGATCTCTCACCCTATTTCCTATCACGGCATTAAAGCCTAATAAATGATAAAATGGTATTTTATGAATTAATAGATATGTATAATTGATTAAGGTTGCTAATGGAGACCGAATCTGATATATTTTCGGTCAGGTGTTGTTTGATTTATTATACAGTTTTGAATGCGGTATGGTGCCTGATGTGTTATTCTATGGTTTCATATGCATGAATCACGGTTTCATTTATTATACTTTGAATTATTGTGAACCCGATGTTGTGTTGCCTTGTTGGGTGTCCATTACTGGTTTATGTGTTTGATTGGATAATTGAGATTAAGAAAAATGGTAAAAAAAAAGTATGTGAATTGATAATGGATAATGTCTACAGCCTCACTAGATATCCTGGGAGATGGTGATCGGACCGGGTCCATAGGGAACCCTACTAGGAACGTGCTCTCTCATATCGGACGGGGTATAGAGACTTTATGTGTTTTGGCGCCCATACCGGACAGGGTATGGAGACGGCCCGTTTCACCCTCATACCGGACGGAGTATTGAGGTTTATGATTTTGGCGCCCATACCGGACGGGGTATAGGGACGGCCCTGGAATTAAGTTATTAATGTGAACGGTTCACGTGTAGCAGGGACCCCTTATGGATCCCCATGGATACTAGTAGGCTGATAAAGAGAAAAATTGTTGCCTAATGATTGAAATACAAAAGCATGATATGTGTTATGTTGCAGAGTGTGCGTGATCTTATAATATTTATGATGTAATTGTTTTCATGAATCTCACCGAGGTAAGTGGACAGTAAAAAGTTTTATTATTGATAAATAAGTTTGTTATAAATTATGCTCTATTGGTCGTTTTCGTTTTCTACCAACCTTTATTTCTGTAACAGTGAAATAGTGTGATGTTTTTACTGGGCTAGCGTAACTCATTCCTTACTTAGCCATTTCAGATTAGAAATATTTGGTTCCCGAGCCCATTCTGCAGGAAGACGGCGAGTAGAAGCGAAAGAATTATTTAGTTTTCCTTACAGTATTCTTTCATAATATTTCCTTTAAATTAATTTATTTTTTCATATTTTAATTCGTTTTGGTTATTGTGTAAGGGATATTAATCATAATCTGTTTTATTTCGCTTCTGCACTTAGAATAAATATATGTACATTTACTTTTAATTTTCGGGGCCGTTACAGTTAATATTAAAAATTAAAAATATATATTTTAAAGTGAACATACAAAAACATATTTGTCTCAATTCAAACAAGATGATAATAAATATTAATTTTAAAAATACCATATTTATATTAAAATCCTGATAAAAAATCTCAATCTATAAATTATATTAATAAATTAAATTTTTAGTAAGTTATTAATTAAAATGTGATATCACATTGGCGTCTACTAGTTACATAAGATAGTTTTTCTCTATAGCAGTAAACCATCATTTTTGTCATTTTAAAGTAACTTTTATTTTATTAAATTATTGTAAATATGATTACACCTTTGATTTAATTTTATAATATTTATTTGTATATAATATTAGATCCACTAACCCTAACGTAATTTTAATTTCATCTTCAACCAGACGTCTCTCCGTTCTTCAATTTTAATTTTATCACTCCAGAACCAGAATTCACTGCACTTCCTGCGATCTTAAAAAGTACGAGGTCTGAAGTTGGTAATTACATTTTTTTTAATGCTTTCTTCCTAGTCTCACTGTTTTCCCTGGTTCTCAATCTCACTCTGCTTCTCTTCTCCGTCTCACTCATTCGATGCTTTCTTTTGCTCTTCGCCGTAAATCCGTAGGGAAGATGAGCTGCAATTTCGAGTAAGTTGGAGCAATAAGTCTCGACCGTCCTGCGGTTGGCCTTTTTATTCCTTAGATTCTTTATCGATTAGCCTTAAGATTCATATTGCCATGTTTCCTAATTCCTGGTATTTTTTTTACAAAAAGTGGAGTTCGTTTCTTAATTGATAGGTTTCTCTTAAACTGTTGTTTC